CTTAGCTGGCTGATTCTTCTAAATCAGGAATCTCAAACTCAAAGCATCTGCGGGACAAGGGGGTAGCTGCATGGAGCACGGGAGGCTGAGGGTGGGATGTCAGCAGCACTGGGGCTGCAAGTCACCTCCTCCCATCGTCGCCACGTGGGGAGAACGCCCGAGTGTTGCCAGTTCGTCCTATGTTCAAAGACAGGCTGGAAACCCAGAGACTCCCCAGTTTTTAAAAACTGAGTTTCACTTTATAAATATTTTTTTAAAAAACACTGTGGGCCAAGCAAAACCCATCTGAGGCTGAATGGAGCTCCAGAGTGAGCAGTCTGTGATGTCAGGTCTGAAGACGTGCAGAGCCCAGAGCCATGTGGTTTACGCCCCAGTCAGTATCACCACCCCCCGTGCCGAATCTCAGTAGGGGGCCAGAGAGACCCGAGCCTTGGAACTGGGCTCCCACCCAGTGGGGACAGGGTGGCAAGCTTATTCATTCTGCTAATTCATTTCACCTGGAAGAGTGAATAATGAATACTTTCTTCCTAGCTGAGAAAGAAGACGACGATGGCAAGATAGTGTCTTTGGTGATCAATTACTAAAAGTCACTCTCCCCCCAGATGGGTCAAGATTATCCAAAAATCTGACGAATTTGGGAATAATAATGTGGCGGGGCACCAACTCATTGTTTTTGAGTAACATGAGAAAAATGGCTTATCTCATTACAATTGTTTCCAACAAATTAATAAATATAAACAGGCAAAATCTCTAAGGGAGAGATGAGGAATTTAAAAAAAGACGAAGGTATCTTGCTTACATTTTATTTATTTCAATGAAACAGTTTTATTTTGACACAGTTAAAATCTTACAAAAGAGTTGCAAAAATAGTAAAAGGAGTTTTCATATACCCTTCACTCAGGTTCCTCAAATGGTGAGATTTTACCATATTTCCTTTCACCTGAGTTCCCCTCCACCCCAAGCTGTTCGAGAATAAATTGCAAGCAAACATAATGCCACTTTCTCAGTAGTTCTGAATACATATATTTTCAAAATCAAGATGTTCTCTTATATAAGTTCAGTACAATTATCAAAATGAAGAAATTGACATGGATACAAAACTATTTTCGAGACTTGCAAATTTTGTCGATGGTCTGAAAAATGTTCTTCATAGGAAAATAAAATTTCCAGTCATGTGTTGCCTTCAGTTTTGTGTATCTTTAGACATCTTTTTATCCACAAATCTGGAACAGTTCCTTGAACTTTCCTCTTAATTCATGACCTCAACGTTTTTGGTGGGTATAGGCCAATTACTTCATAGAATGTACCTTAGACATTTCCCCGTGATTAGATGCAAATTATGCAAATTTTTGCAGAAATACGAGGGAATCAATATTGTGTTCTCCTCCATTGTGCTTGTTGGGGGACAGTTCTCTGTTGGCCCCATTGCTAGTGATGTCAGTTTTGATCACTTGGCTAAAGCACGGCCTACCAACTTTCTCCACCAAAACCTACTGGCGTTTCCTTTGTAATTCAGTGAACAACTTGGGGCTAACTTGTTGGAAGACAATTTAAGATGATGCGAATCTCCTGTTATTCATGAAACTTTCACCAGCTGGTTTTAGCATCTACTTGTGATCTTTACCTGAATCAGTCACTCCTGTGAATGTTGTCAGAGATCCCTTTGGATAATATCATAAGGAAAAACTGTCCCTCCAAGGCCGGTGCAGTTACTCACTCCTGTAATCCCAGCACTTTGGGAGGCCAAGGCAGGTGGATCACCTGAGGTCAGGAGGTTGAGACCAGCCTGGCCAACGTGGTGAAACCCCATCTCTACTAAAAATACAAAAAATTAGCTGGGTGTGGTGACGCATGCCTGTAATCCCAGGTACTCAGGAGGCTGAGGCAGGAGAATCACTTCAATCTGGGAGGTGGAGGTTGCAGTGAGCCGAGATTGCACCACTGCACTCCAGCCTGGGTGACAGAGTGAGACTCTGTCTCCAAAAAAACAAACAAACAAACAACTGTCCCTCCCCTCTGACTTTATGACATTATCATCAAGTCACAGATTCTTATTTCATTGAATGGTTTTATAATCTTTTAACATCAGTATTTATTCTGATGCTCAAATTATCTCAATTTGTCCAGTGCTGCCACTCCTGCATCCTTTGGACATATTCTAAGGACTCTTCATCCTTTTAGGACAAAATAAGATACGTGTTCCAGGTTCTTCTTGTATTGGTAATGAGAGAATTTTCCCAGCAGTCCTGGTTCCTTTTAGTGAAGAATGGTATTTAGAAACCAATATCTGGGTGCTAGATGTGCACAGTGCTCTTAGGGTGTCACTGAGGACAGAGCTAGGAAACACATCTATGTACGTACGCACACATACATGTGTGTATACAATCTACGTCTACTTCCCTATCTGTGTATAAATTATAAACTGGAGTTCATGTACGCCAACCCTATTCTAACCCACTACGGGTTTCATTTTGGCCTTACCCCTTTCTGTACTAGTAATCCCTCCCTGACAGTGATAAACAGGCTTCCAGGTTCACAATATATTTCTTATCTCCTTGATAAGAAATGTACAGAAAGTAGTTTCAGAGTTGCTAACTCATACTTTTGTCCAAAACAAATTTACTCACTATCATTCACTATTTGTCTCTGATTCTCTGTTGTCTTTAGCCTCAGGATTTATAGCCAAAATATGTGTCTAAAATTACTTGGATTAGTTTTCCCTTACCCTCCTTCAGTGTGGTTTTGATATTCATCTGAAATACAATTAAGTTCATTTCTTTCCATTTGTAACTAATTCAGGGTTTTTACTCATCCTCATGGACATTAATATCATATGTCAAACATTTCCATGATTCCAAAGGTCAGAACTAAACCAAAAAGCCACACCCTCCATCTCTTTTCCCCATCATCAGCCCCCTTTATTTCTGCCTGGGGCTGTTGATGACCAACCTCATAGACTGTGATTTCTTTTCCTGTATGTGCATATGTGTTACATGAATGAGCAGACACACAGACATTTTCTTATCTTCCTGATATAGTTTGGCTGTGTCCCCACCCAAATCTCACTTTGAATTGTAATAATTTCCATGTGTCAAGCGCAGGACCAGGTGGAGATAATGGAATCATGGGAGTGGTTTTCCCTATATTGTTCTCAGGGTAGTGAATACGTCTCACGAGATCTAACAGTTTTGTAAATGGGAGTTCCCCTGCACACACACTCTTGCCTGCCACCATGTAAGACAGCCCTTTGTTCTTCCTTTGCCTTCCGCCATGACTTTGAGGCCCCCACAGCCATGTGGAACTGTGAGTCCATTAAACCTCTTTCTTTTTAAAATGACCCATTCTGGGGTATGTCTTTATTAACAGTGTGAAAACAGTCTAATACACTCCCCTTCTTTCTTAGCAGAAGTTAGTTTACTCAGCCGTCTGCACTGTGTCTTTTCACTTAGCAGTATATTTTGGAAAGCACTCCATATTGCCTCACACAGATCATACTCCTTTTACTGCAGCTCATGCTACTCCACTGGTGGATTTACTGTAGTTTATTCAACCATTTTTCTACATAAGGGTATGTAGGTTGTGCCAAAATATCTTGCGTTTAAAACCAATGTTGCAATAAATGATCTTGTGTGTGTGTGTTTTCTAATCGCCAGAGGTGTATCTTCAGAGTAGATTCCTAGAATTGAGATGAAAGAGTCAAAGAAAAATGCAAATGTAACGCCAGTTTCCCTTCCAGAAAGGCTGTAGCACTTTTCATTCTCAGCAGCAATATACTAAGAGTGCCTCTTACCCGACGACTTTCCAACAGTGTGTGTTAGACTTGGTAATTTTTGTCAGTCTTATAGGTGAGAAGTGGTATTTGTTTGCAGTTTTCATTTGTATTTCCCCATGAATGAGGCTCAATAGTTTTAAATATATCTAAAAACAATTTTAATATATTTTTGTGAATGTCCATATCATTTACCTATTTCTCTCTCAATTTTTAAAAATCTTTTTTCTCAAATTTCAAGATCTCTATATTAGGGCCGTTAGCCCTTGTAATGTGATGTATGTGCTGCAGATATTGACTTCTAGCTTGTCATTTTCCTTTTGACTTTATGGTATTTTTGTGATGCAAATATTATAAAAATTATATAGGCAAATTTATTATTTTTAAAACTGCATTTAGATTTTGAGTCATCATTCTGAAGCTTTTCCTATACCCAGGTTATGCAGGAATTCATCCCTGTTTTCTTTCCTGCTTAAAAGAAGTAACTTCTTTGACTTATGTTCCAGATCCACTTGAAGTTTAATCTTATGGATGGCGTGGGTGTGGATCTACCTTTTTCTTAATGGCTGTACAGTTGTCCCAGCATCAATGATTTAAAAGTCAACATTTGCAGCAGGTGCAGTGGCTCATTCCTATAATTCCAACACTTTAGGAGGCTGAGGTGGGAAGATTGCTTGAGCCCAGGAGTTCGAGACCAGCCCGGGCAAAATAGTGAGACCCCCATCTCTATTAAAAAAATTATAAAGAAGAAAAAAAGATCTATGTTTACCTCAGCATTTGAGATGCTACCTTTGTCACTGACTAAACTTCCATATGTTCTTGGGTTTATTTATGGACTTTATTCATTGGCCTGTTTTGCTATTCATGTACCACTGTCATTCAGTACATTTTAAACTCATGCAGATTACTAATAAAATACCCATTTTACTCCTATAGGTAATTCACCAGCATTCTGTTAAGTTGAACTCTATGAAATTGCCACCATTCAACGTATCTTACTCTACCGAATTCTCGTTTTCATGTTTCAACCTAATATAAGTATATGCATAATTCATGGACCATGTAGAATCATTGAATAACTTATTCCAGAAATAATATAAAAATTCTAGCCAAGTGGACTTCAGAATTTCTATCCCTCATTTCTAAATGGCTTACAGACCTAACAGCTAATGAGGAGCCCATGAATAATCCTGTGTTTGTCTTTGTCTTTTCTTTCTTTTCCCCCTTTTAGTGATAGAGGGTCACGGGGTCACAGACAACATTCCGAGATTCTCCTCGCTGCCACCTTACCTCCCTGTGAGCTACCACGTCCTCAGAGCAGAGACCTCCTTCTTCCTGAAGGAGGCCAGCCAGGACCTACTGCGGAACTCCAGCCTGCGGGCCCGGGTGGAATCCTTCTTCACCTACAAGACCAAGCAGCCCCCAGTCCTGAATGCCAGCTATGGACCCTTTTCCGTGGAAAAGGTTGTGCCTCTGGACTTGATGCTGACTTCAAACTTTTTAGGCCCAACCAGTAAGTTTAGTTTTGACTGGAAACTGAAAGCCCACATCCTACGAGATCAAGTCTACCTGAGCCGGCCCAAAGTGCAGGTTCTGTTCCACGTCGTGGGCAGGGACTGGGACGACCAGAGCGCCGGGGACAAGCTGCCATGCCTGAGGGTCTTTGCTTTCCGAGAGACCAGAGAGGTGCGGGGCAGCTGCCGGCTGCAGGGGGACCTGGGGCTGTGTGTGGCCGAGCTGGAGCTGCTGTCCAGCTGGTTCAGTGCCCCGATGGCGGTGGCCGGGAGGAGGAGGCCCGTGGACCAGCCGGAGGGGACCCCTGTGGAGCTCTACTACACTGTGCACCCAGGAAACGAGCGAGGCAACTGTGCCGGGGGTGACTTTAGGAAGGGCAACGCCATCCGTCCAGGAAAGGACACGCTGGAGGAACCCACGTCCCACCTGCAGAGGATCGGCACCATCCGCCTTCATCGGGCCCAGGACAGCGCCCAGCTCAGCCAGCTGCGTTTGGATGGTAACGTGGTCATCTGGCTACCTTCCAGGCCGGTCAAGCAGGGAGACGTGGTCACGGCCTACGTCACCATCTCCAGCAATTCCTCCGTGGACTTCTTCATCTTGAGGTAGGTGCCCATGCCTGCCCCTGCTCATCTTTGGCACGCCTGCTGTGAGACTGAGTTCTATGCTTTGGCAGATAGGCATTCAGGAAGCGTCGATTTTCACTACCTTTGGCAGATAGATATTCAGGAAGCATCGATTTGTACTACCTTCAGGGGCCTGTGAGCATTAGCAGGGGAAGCCAGGTTCTACACCTGCCCACTGTGGGTTATGGAGGGAAGAAGAGGCAAAGGGTGGGCAGAATTTATATCCAAAAGGAGCAAGACGAGCATAATCCTCCCTCGAGACCTTCCGTTATCCTCGCACCTGGAGACTGTTTCTGCTGTGGTTGCTTTGATGAGATACCATTTGAGTTGCGTGATTGAAAGTCCGTGTTCAGGAAGCCCAAGAAAAGGCAGAGGAGGGATGACGTGTCACCTTGGGTGTATATATGAAAAGAGCCAAGCATAGTACCCTTTTTCTTAATTAGATGGGATTAACTGTTGCCAGTTAGTGTCTGGGGGGCCTAAGTGCATGGGTATAGCTTCGCAATAATTAAGCAAACATGACCAGCATTAAACTCTTCAGCAAAGGTATTCTATCTTGTAAAACAAACAAAGCAGCAGAATAATCCACCTACTGTCACCGCTGCGAGTTCAACAGACAGCAGCATCAAAGCTGTAACAGGGCTGCTCTTCACTCTGCATAATGATTCTAAAATTTGGTACAGGAGCACATATTTCCTGAGGATAATTTATACTGGGGCAAAATTCAATTAAACCAAATCCTCTTAAGATGTGGACTAGAATGTCATAATAATGAAAAAGTTGTTTGTTTGAAATGTGTTTAAAAAATAAACGGAATAAAGATAAGGTTTTTTTTCTGCTGTAGTTAAGAATGAGGTAGGTAGTAATTGTAGCTATGCTTTGGTTCTTGCTAGAGTATAGCCTTAATCACATTTTGAATGAGTTGCGTCAAAAAATATTTGCAAGCTAGAATGACAGCACATCATACCGTAGTTCACTTCTGTTTATCTTTTGTCATGACTATAAGGATGCTTATTTTTAATGTTCTTTTTTTGTTTTGCTTGCTTTTGTTTCTTCATTTACAAAAAGGTTCAGAGATTTCCATTAGTTTCTCATCTTACTCGTTCAGATTCAAATAATTGTCTTCTGAAATACGCATCTTGTCATTGCCTTTATTTTTCCTTTCGATTTTTAAGTGGCCTAATTTTGCAGATCCTCAGTTGCCAGTGTTTTTTTGGACATGCTTGGAGGACTGTTAAGACATCCCTTTCAACAACATCATGAAATCCTACATCTTTTATGAGATTTACTGTACCAGGGATTCTCATTGCATTTGCATTGTGAACCTTGGTGGTCTGTGAGGGACTTGCTGACATCATGGTGGGGAGGGACGGGTCTCGCTGTCAGTGAATCGGCGGCTTATTGAAAGTATCACGGCATTGCCACTGAGGCGCCAGGAGAGCCAATATTCAGATAAAAGGATCTGGATATTGGGTTTGCTTCTGCCTGGCTTGGAGTCAAAGAGGTACTGCTCTGGGAAATCTGAATTTAATTTTTGGTAAGTCCCTTTGCCCCCTGGGTTTCTGATCAATAATGAAATAACTGCATCTATCTCTGGCTTTGGAAGCTAGAGACAGAAAGACCAGGGAACCAATGGCATGCTAAGTAGCTGTAAAATTTTGGAGTGATCATCTTCCCCCTTGCACTTGGTTAACATCCATCTTCAGAAAATACAGGCTCCAGTGTCACCAGGGTGAGCGTGAGCCAAGCCACCTGGGTCCCTAGGTCTAAGGTGCACAACCTTCCAGCTGTACCTGAAAGGGAAGCTTTAACCAGGCTCTTCAGAGAGGAGCATCTGTTTTCGGAATTTTTCATCACAAAGATAGGCATGGTGGTGGTGAACAACCAGCTGATCTCAATTCTGATCCTGTCTCTTCTACTTACAGACCAACCTCTGCATGCCTCAGTTTCCTCCTCTCTAAAGCAGATGTCATTGTAGTACCTGCCCCCATGGGGTTGTGAGGATTCAGTGGGCTAATATTTATTTGCAAATTGCTCATAACCGTGTCTGGTGCACTGAAAGTTCTCTGTCAATATTGAATATTACTAACAGGGCTGTTTTTCAGCATCCATCAAACCTTCAATAAGCACTGAATTCTACCTTCGTAGTAAAAGGACATTGTGTGTTGTGTAAAACAACTCCCAAGTTTATTCTCAAAACTGTATTATTCCCATCGTACTGTGATTTTGTTTAAAGAGCGGTGTCTTTGTGTCATGACAGGAGCACTTGTAGCACAGAGGGTGCCGATGGCATGGTTCTGGGGTGTGAGACTTCGTCACATTTAATGGCACTGCTTGATGTGGTCAAGTGCAGCAGCTGTTTTTCCTTCCTTCTGATCTTTCCCATCACAGATCAAAGTCCTGGGGAGGGAAGATCCACCTCACCCCTGTTCACCAAGATACGGCATGTGTTACAGGTTTCCTTACCTCAGATTTTAAATTTGAAGCAAATTTCCTAAGGGCTAAAAGCAATCGCTCATGGGAGAGTCTGAGCAGAAAATGTTCCCCAAACACAGATGCTAATGCATGTCCTTGTGTCTCAGGCGTGTCAGAATTCGATGAATAGGGAACAAATAAATCATCTGGAGACCCAGCTTTGAGGTTCATTCTTACTCTGAAGATGGAATTTCGCTATTTAAAAGGGGACATGATGGATGCTGTACACATTTCGGAGCCTCGGCTTAATTCCAGTTGCCAAAATGATCTGCAGGCAGCAGTGTGTCAAATGGAATTTTGCTCTGTGTGGAGTCTCTCTGTTTCTCTCCTTCTCTTCTCTCTCCCTCTCTCCAATTCTCCCGTTTTCCTAACATGATTGAAGGTACTTCTTTAAAAAAAATTAAGCTCTTATGTTTTTAAATAATTATCAATTTGTAAGAAGTTACAAAAATAATGCAGTGATTTCCCGTAGACCCCCCTCCCAGCTTCCACTGGAAGTAACGCCTTATAGAGCCATAGTGCAATATTGACACCAGGAAGCAACGTTATTAACCAAACTAAAGCATGTTTAGATCGGAATGTCGGTTTTAGGGCACCTCTTTCCAGCTTATCTGTGACTGAAGACATTTCCAAAGGCAAGGAAGTTCAGTTGGAATAATTAGTTCCGTAGAACGCCTGCCTGAGTCTCTCTGAGTGTCCGTTAGGAAAAGATGGGCTCAGTTTGCTTCTCCTGCTTTTTTAGGGAGTACAGAGAATTTCCTTCCAGGGCAGAGATGCCATCTTTTCAGGCTCTCAGATATGTTGTGTGTTTCTGTATCATCAATTCAATGTGCAGGTATCCAACCCTGGCCATTTGCCGGGCACTGTTCTACAGCAGTGAATGAAACAGACAAAACTCTCTGCCCCAGCGAAGCTTACGTTCTAGTAGGCAAGATAAAAATAATCAAACTGTGCATGCGCGCCAAGAAGTGACACAGCTGGAGGGCGTAGTTAGCTCAGCCTCCAAGACTGCTGGTTTTTGTCAAGAAACCATTTGCATTTGGGCACCATCTGCCTTAATGTGGACAACATCTGAGAGGCCGTCAAAGAGCTTAGCCACAAGGCAGCAGGTAAAGACAGAGTCCCTCGAATTCCATCCTGCATAAAATGAGCTTTATGAATGGCAAACTCTCCAGGATGGGCAGGAGCTCTTCCATATGTTGCTCACAGCTGTGTACAAGAGATGCACAAGGCTAGATGCTAAGTGCCGTGGCATTGCAGAGTGTACACAGCTTTGTGTTCTGTTGTCATTCAGTTCTAATGCTACAAGGAAAAGTCGTGTTCTCTGTTAGCATACCTCTAACATTCTGACAGCACCTGCTAATCTTGCTTTTTTGGAACAAAGACAAGTCACTGTTTACAAGCCTTCCCCTTTTCTGGCTGGAATTGTAAAACTTTGTTCTGTTTTCATTGTTTATATTTATAGTTACTTTCTTTTGGTAGCCCAAATACAAAACAAACAGTGGTTTTCCATTTTCACTGTGGATACAATTTTTTTTTCATTCATTTGGTAAATATTGTCTCAATTAATATGTGTTGAGCCCTGCCCATTTGCCAGGCATTGTTCTACAGCATTGAATAAAACAGGCAAAACTCCCTGCCTGTGTGAAGCTTATGCCCTAGTGGAGGAGGATAAGCATAATCAAAAGTGGGCTGAGTGTGGTGGCTCACACCTGTAATCCCAGCACTTTGGGAGGCCAAGGCTTGCGGATCACCTGACGTCAGGAGTTCAAGACCAGCCTGGCCAACATAGGGAAACCCCCATCTCTACTACAAATACAAAAAGAAAAAAATAGCTAGGCATAGTGGCAGGCCACTGTAATCCTAGCTACTCAGGAGGCTGAGGCAGGAGAATGGCTTGAATCTGAGAGGCAGAGGCTGCAGGGAGCCAAGATCACACCACTGATCCCCAGCCTGGGTGACAAGAGTAAAACTCTGTCTCAAAATAATAATAATAATCATCATCATCATCAAAATTACCAAGTGAATATGATGGGTAGTGATGAGTGGCTTAGGAAAAAAAATTTTAACAAGGGAGGAAGAATGGAAAGTGCTGAGAATGCAATTTAAATAAGGTGAGAGTCAAAGCAGGCTTTGCTGAAAAAGTGGTGTTTGAATCAAGCATGGTCTTGGCAGGGAAACATGTGCAAAGGTCCTGGGGTTGCTTGCTTGGTTTGTTTCAGGAACAGTAAAGAGATAAATGTGGCTGAAACAGAATGGAAGATAGGAGAGGTGGGGGGGGCGGTGAGCTCAGTGGGGAGCCAGGACTCACGTCACTCAGGACTTTGTGAGCCATTGTAAGGACTTGACTTTTGTTCCAGGTGAGATGGCTTTGAATAAGGAATGCCATGATGTAACTTATTTTTATGTATAGCAGTAATCTAGGTGAGAGAAGAGAGGACAGCAGCAGCAGAGGTGTGAATCAGTGTGCAGATTCTGTATTAATTTTAAAGCCAGGACTGATA